AAATAAGTAAGTATAAATAAATATACAGGTTTATACTGTAATGGACAAGAGAGTGATCCAGGTACTTTATAGTATTAAAAATTAGATATTTATATCTAAAAGAAATTAATGTTGAATATAATAAGAAAATAAAAATAGGTCTTTTTTACACTTTATTTGCTTTTATAGTTAATGTAAATTTTTTTTAAATTTTTGTCAGTTGGACTTGAACTCCATGCTTGAATGCCATCCTTGAGCTTTTTTCTCAAGGCTAGCATTCTACCAGTTTGAGCTCCAGCACCATTTCCAATTTTCTGATAGTTAATTAGAGATAATAGTCTCATGGACTTTCCTGCCCAGGTTGCTTCAGACTATGATACTCAGATCTCAGCCTCCTGAGTAGCTAGGGTTACATGCATGAGCCACCAGGGACTGGCTATAATAAATCTTGTTATCTAAGCAGAAAGCCATTTTGTGGGACTGATTACTAAGTGCTTATTACAGTTTTTGCAATATCTATAATGTAACATCTTTACTTAGAAAATAAACTTAAAATTCCTTTATTCCAGTTTTAATAAAATAGTTTGGTATATTGGGAGACTTTTTTGTTATTGATTCAATTTTTCTATTGGTATTGAGTTCCTCAAATTTTTCTTTTTAAAATATCGTCCAGATTCAGTTTTGATAGAACACGTTTCTTATAAATTTTCTAATTTATTATAATGCAAGTTTTCAAAATTATCCCTTAATGTTCTACTGTATTTTGGTTGTATCTCTGTAATATTCCCTTTGACTCACTTTGGTTAAGTTAATCTTTTCTTCGCCTTCTTTTGCTTATTTTGGCTAAGTTAGGGTTTGGCACCCTAAATATAATGGTCCATCAGTTTGTTTTCAAGCTCTTATACTATTTCTTGATCTTATCTATTAATGAGAGAGGCTTTCCACTGAAAATTTTAAGTTCATCAATTTTCATTTCCAAAGTATTTTCTTCTTTTTCATAATTTCTCTTTTATTAAAGATTTCCATTGGCATAAGTGATTATTAAAAGGAGTTTCACTGTGATATTTACAGCATGTGTATCTTATATGTTGGTTAAATTCACGCTTTGTTTCCTCTTTTTAAATAATTTTGTTTCATTTTTATATATAGATATAATATACTAACAATCTTTTCTCTTTACTGAATTTGTCATTCATATATTGCATTGTCTTTTTTTTACTTTTTAAATCTTTTATTTTCCTTTTTGCATTATATTCATTTGTGTATCTATTATTTTGGAATTTATTAAAGTTTTTTAAAAACAGTTCTTTTTAACTGTTTTATTCATCAGTTCATCCACTTCAAAATCGTTTATTATAGGTTAGGGACCTTTGTAGTGGTCATGTTACTTTGTGGGTTTTTTTCATATATAGTTCTTATGCTTCTGTGTTGAGATTAATACACTTTTTGATATAGACGACTCTACTTCTTAAGCTAGATGTTTATTTATTTGCTTATTTTAGAAAATAATCTTTTCTTGAAGATGTTCCCTGGACTGTTTATAAATGGGTTTAGAAGTAGTGTACTTGGTGGGCTCTCTGGCTGAGGTTGGTGGATTTGGGTACAAAACATACTATGTCAGAGTCCAATGGCCTTCTCTCTTTAGTGTTTGCAAGAGATAATTTACACAAGTTTACTATGAATGTAGAAGGGTAGTGCCCTCTGGTTTAGCACAGTGTTTTAAAGCAAACATAGTCTGCTAAGAAAATTAGTTTAACTATATTCAGTAATGTATTTCTTATAAGCTAGAAGAATATTAAATATATAGAAGCAATGATTGTTAACTGCATTAAACATTAGTAAATGTATAGAAAATTTAAAAACAATTATAATTACTATATAATTTTTAAAATAGAATTTTGATATAGTTACCTTTGTCTTATTTGTTTGTTTATGCCAGTACTGGAGTTTGAACTCAGGTCCTCTTGCTTGACATTTAAGCCAAATATCCACTTCCTTTTTTCTTCATCTTTAAGCTTTTTGTTTCTTTAATTTAGTCAAATAAGAGAAATTCCTTTTGGCTAGACTTGGTGACACACCAAGAATCCAGCAATGAGAAAGCAGAGGCAGACGGTTTTAAGTTCAATGCTAGTTAAACTCCATAGTGAACCTTATCTTAGAAAAACAAGGGGCTAAGAGATATAACTCAGTGGTTGTGAACTTGCTTGTCATAATCAAGCCCATCGTTTTGATACTCAGCACAGGCCAAAAAAGAAAAAAAAAAAACCTTTCGTCTTAATTTATTTCATCTTAATTATCTCATCTTGCAATAACTTACAAATGCAATTTCAAGGTTACTGAGCCCTCTAGTGATCTTTTCAAATACTGCTTTTGAGTTTCAGTTGGGATCTTAGCACAGTATTTACAGTTTTAATAACAAATTTATTGGTGAATTTCTTTCCACTCATTTTCCTAAATTCAACATTTAAAAAAAAAGTAATTTTAAGGGCAGTGATACAGAACATGGGCTGAAGTAAGTTATAAACTTTTGTAGCATTTAAAGATATATTCAGCCAGGTGCTGGTGGCACACGCCTGTAATCCTAACTACTCAGGAGGCTGAGATCTGAGGATCACAGTTCAAAGTCAGCCCTGGCAGGAAAGTCCGTGAGACTCTTACCTCCAATAAACCACTAGAAAACCCTTGAAAACAAAAACATAATTTTTCTTATTGGAAGTAAAATATACCTCAAAATCCCATTTGCCATTGGAGTGTGTGTGTGTGTGTGTGTGTGTGTGTCATGGGGCCTGAACTCTGGGTCTGGGCGCTGTTCCTCAGCTCTTCAGCTCAAGGATAGCACCCTACCACTTGAGCCACAGTGCCACTTCCAGCTTTTTCTGCTTACGTGGTGCTAAACCCAGGGCGTCATGCATGCAAGGCAAGCACTCTACCACTGCCATCTTCCCATCCCTGGACTGTATTTTTAAAGAAAACCAGGATTATAACAAAAGTGTCAACACTATTTCCAAATTGAAAGCTATATATATATACATATATGCATGTATGTTAATATATATATATGTAGTTTCATTCTAGCATGCATTTTTTTGTTAAAAGATGTAGCTGTTTACAAAACAAGCAAAAAGAAAGCTGAATGTAGATTTTTTTCCCCTATCATATATTTAGATTGAATTTATTGGTTTAAGGAGTATATTATATATGAGGTACATATCTATTTAAGATTTTCCCTCTCATTTAATTACAATTCTTTTTGCAAGTAGTGAGCATAAAATCATTCAATAAAAATTTATTTAGTACTCTATTATGTTCCTGACAATTGAGTAGGTTCTGGGGCAATACAAAGAGTAATAAAACAGAGTCTTTGGTTTCAATCCAGTGGGCCAAATATAAAGAAATTGTTTCAGTTTTTATGGTTGGAGGTTGCAATGATAATGTATAATTAGGGTTGTTTGTCTAGTGGCTTTAAATTCAGCAAGCAAGCTGAGTATGAAGCCCATGATGAGTGCCAACAAGAAAAAAAGTGAAAAATTTTAAGGTGTAATTTTCATACAATTAATGTGTGTATTTAAGGTGATGATTTGATAACTTTAATATGAGAAACCATCCCTACAGGTAACCTACTGACCATACAACGATTATTTCCCAGAAGGCCCTTTTTGACCTTTTGCAATCTCTTCTATTCTTCCCTTATCCTACTAGTCCTCAATCCTGTGCATCACATAATTTGACATCTTTTCCTATTCTACATCTGTAAACTAATGCAGCTATACAGTGTATATTCTACTTTAGTCTTCATAGGGGATATAATGTTGACAAATGTTTCAATAATTAATTTCTTTTTACTGCATAATGTTCCATTGTATTATTATATATTTTGTTTCTCCATTTTTTGTGGATAGACATTTTATTCCTATTTCTCACAGTATAGCTGCTGTGAACATTTGTATAAAAGTTTTTGTATATATTTACACTTATTTTTCTTTTGGATCTTTGGCTGGATCATATGTTGAGTCTCTTTAACTGTTTAGTTCCTGTCTAAAATGCCTAAGGACCTTAATTTGATCCCTTGGGCCCCTCCTCCAAAAAGGGAGATAAAACACAATAGTATACCATAAGATTGTTGTGAGAGTTAAATAAGAAATACTCTGAAAATGACATGTGTATTCTAAAGTGTATTCTGTATATGTCATCCCTCCTGTTGGGTTATAAAGTTTTTTATCTGTTAAGGTATTGACAATTTTTTCAAAATGTTGATTTATATCTAGAAAGTTTGTTGTTCTTATTTTGAGAGAGGGTATCCTTATGTAGTCTCAGCTGGCCTTAAACTTGGAATCTTCCTGCCTTGCCCTTCTGAGTGCTAGGATTAGAAGCACACACCACCATCTTTTTTGTTTTTCCTAGTTGCCTTTGGTGTAAATAAACTAGGACATCATCTCTACTCCAAATAATCTAGAATGTCATTATGAAATTAGCGAGTGGATTTAATTTTTAAAAGATTTCTGTTTTATTTTCATATATTAAATTTATCATTGTTTTGTACATAAGAATTACATATGAAGATGCTTATATAATCTTACACTTTTCACCCTTAGTCATAATTTTCAGATGCATTAGAATCAGGCCAGAGTTGTAGTTGTTTTTCAGCTGCACATACTTAAGTTAAAATATTTGACACATTGACAGACAGGACAGATTAGTCTCTTTATTAATGGAAGAGAGTTAATGTTCATATTCTGTGTTTTTTTTTGTGCTTTTTTTTTTCCATGGGGCCTGAACTCTGGGCCTGGGCGCTGTCCCTCAGCTCTTCAACTCAAGGCTAGTGCTCTACCACTTGAGCCACAGTGCCACTTCCGGCTTTTTTCTTTTTGCTTATGTGGTGCTGAGGAATCGAACGCAGGGCCTCAGGCATGCAAGGCAAGCGCTCTACCACTGAGCCACCTTTCCAGCCCCATATTCCGTGTTTTTGTATGAGTCCCTCACATCAATTTAATTTATAATGAATTGTTATTTTCTTTCTTTAGATTGGACAGTTAGCTTTTAAAGGAATGAAGAGACTCAATAGAATCCAGTCAATAGTTTTTGAAACTGCCTACAACACCAACGAGAACATGCTGATTTGTGCCCCTACTGGAGCTGGGAAGACCAACATTGCAATGTTGACAGTGTTGCATGAAATTCGCCAACATTTCCAACAAGGTGTTATCAAGAAAAATGAATTTAAGGTGGGAAAATACCAGAATGTAAGACAACTTCTTAAAATGTAAAAGTTAAAATGAACTTGTAGTTACATGAAATCTGGAAGTTTCTAAGCTATTGATTTATTGTACTTCATATAAGTCATGTAAGTAATGAGCTGCTTTATTACTATTGAGGCAGTCCCTATTTGCTGTGAAAATCCTGTCGCCCACAAAAAAAGGTTTGGAATCCAGTTAACTATGAAGTAACTCACAGTGATAAGTTTGTGTAAACAAATTCAGTTGTCCTTTGAATAGTTATACACTTACCCAAGAAGATAAGTACTGTTCATGTATCATTAACATTATTCACAGAAAATATCTAGAAACGTATTTTACAACCAGTTATGACTTTTATTGGCTACTTTGAAACAAATGACATTGTAGTGTTTGCTCATTCATCAAGCCAGTATTCCTTTGGCACAGATTGTATATGTTGCTCCAATGAAAGCCTTGGCAGCTGAAATGACAAATTACTTCAGCAAACGTCTAGAACCACTGGGCATCATGGTAAAAGAATTAACTGGTGATATGCAATTGTCAAAAAATGAAATTTTACGAACTCAGGTATGTAATTCATGTATTTTTTATTGAATATTTTGGCTTTTTATAAGTAATTATGAAAATTACTAGATTTTATATCTTGTGAAAGTATCATATACAAGCATAATATAATTTCCTTTTTTATTTGTAACTATATTACCTCTCTGCTGGTACTTTCTTTTATGTTATCTTTTCAGATTTCTGTGATGCTTTACTGATTTTGAATAATTTTAGGATTCAAGCATACATTTAAACTCTGTTTACAGTTAATATTGTTTTAAAACAGAGGGAATAGGAATAAAGATAGTAGTTGAATTTTAGGAGTAGATAATATGTAGATCTTGAAATAATTCCACTAATATCCTAAACTACTGTATAAGAATATTTTAACAGAAAGAAGAAATAAATAAAAGGTTTAAATAATTCTTTATCAACTGAGAACTTAAAAAATTATGTACTGTATTTGGCACTATATACTAGATAAAATGAATAACAATAGAGACACATATAATTCCTGCCTTCAGAGATCTTACATTATAACTAAGTAGGAAAAAGTATGTTAGCACTACAATCAAATTATTATCAATTAATGGAAGCAATATGTAAGTAAGGTGATATTTAGAAACTAAGTAGTGGTGAACAAATATTAATGGAATAATTCATTAGAATTTGGTGTAGAAAATATGATACAACTTTGTAGTAAAGTATGACCACTGACTTAAAGGTAAGTGGCTAGTGAACTGCTTTTCTAGGTCTGACTAGGAAAAACCCCACAAACTTGATATCTTAAAACAATGTCTTAAATGTTACAGGTTTGGAGTTTAGAATTCTGCAGTTGTGATATTGACATTGTATTTCTTCTGGAAATCTCCTTGTTTCTTGGCTACTAAGGATGATGTCTATACCCTTCACTGCAATCCCTGCTTTTCTAACAATTCCTTTACAACAAATTAGCTTGACCATGTGTGTGTGTCTGTCTATCTTTATTTCCCTTTATGCTTTTCTTCTAAGATTAGTAGTCATTAGATGATTAGCATAGGAGCCTTAACCTAATTTAAAACCTTACCATAATTTAAATACAAGGGCTCTTTTCCAAAATAAAGTCACACAGGCTGAATGTTGATAACCCCCTCCCCACAATTCATGTGTTGAAACCCTAACCCACAATATAATATTATTTGGAAGTGTGATTTTTAATGGTAATTTTAGATTAGATCAGAAGGATGAGATCTTTGTGATAGAATTAATTACTTTTAGAAAAAGCAGATGATATGTTCCTCCCTCTTGCCCTTTCTATGTCTTTCTCTCTTCCTTTCTCCATTACTTCTTTGTCTCCATTTCCAGTTCATCCCACCACTGAGAAAATGTCCTTGTCAGCATATAGTAAGAATGTGGCTATGTAGAAGCAAGAAAGCCAAAAGGCATGATACACTGAATGTTTGCACTGTGATTCTATATTTCTCAGCCTCTATCTGTGAGAAATATATGTCTTATTTAAGCCTACTGTGCCATGGTGTTTTGTGATAGTAGCAGCCAGAGCTGGCATAGGACAAGCACAGTTACACAGGTTTTGGCAGGAGAATAGCATTGTTTAATTATGTCAAGTTATCTGAAACATGATGAAGATGCAAAGAAAGGTTTCAATTAAATATATTTTAGAGTTAATAGGAATAGTGTCTTATAACCCACATGCTTACATTAATTTTACTAGTTATTCTCAAATTTTCCTTTTATAGGCCTTCTTGAAAAAAAATCAGATCATAGGATTTACATATATAAGCATGTTCATTGCAGGATTTATTTTTAATATAACAAAAAGATTAGGGAGAAATTAAAGTTCTATGAATAGAGGTTCATACCATCACTTTGTTCTTCTGCTATTAGTGGATTTATAAGTACTATAATCTAGAAGCATTCATTTTTTTTTCTTTTACAAGTGTATTCAGGAAGTGTATTTTAAAATATAACTGTCCTTTAAAACCTACTGCCAATGCATCTTTTCTCACCAGGTCTTCATAGAATCTTATTCTGAATTTGTTTTTCTCAAAAATCAATAGTTATATTTACTGTAATTAAGTGTAAAATGCCCCTTTCTTTTCTTTTGTTAACTTCTTAAAGTGCTAGTCTGGGCAGAAAAATCCATGAGACTCTTTATCTCCAATTAACCACCAAGACAGCTGGAAGTGGAGCTGTGGCTTTAGTGGTAGAGCCTAGTTTTGAGTGACTAAAATCTCAGGAAAAGCACCTGGCTCTGAGTTCAAGCTTCAGTACTGGACACCGGGCAGGGGGTGGGACGGGGGGCGGTAGGAGTGGGGAATATGTATTAAATTAAAATTGGCACTTAACAAAATATTCAAAATAAAATTTCATAAATTTGAAACCACTCTAGAATAGTAAGTTAATATAGCATGAACATTCTGTCCCTTCTGTTCCATGTCCATTGTTCTGTTGCATCCCCCTACTTATTCTTCCGGAACAACATTAAGACACTAATTGAAAAAGGAAAAAAGAAAACATACTATCAATTTGTTGTTTTCATTGGTCTATAGTTGCAGCTCTTGAAATGTGGTCTAATATGTCCAGAATTTCCTTAAATGAATTCAAAGGGTTCTACAACATTTAAAACTGCTTTCTTATAAGAATGTTATCGTATTATTTTCTTTCAGTTCTCTTACAAGAATACAGTAGGGCTTTTATACGAATATGTAATGGAGCTTTTCCAGATAGTACATAGGGAGTGAGAGCTTTGTATTCTTATATTGCTTAAAAAAATGTGCAAAGAATTCCACAGCCAAAATATATTGAGACCAGAACTATAGAGAGAAGCTCCTTACCTTGTACTGTAGATACACCATTATCTGTAGACACATGGTTCCAGTGAACCCTCCATTGAAGAAAAATCACAGATGCTCAGAATCTATAGTAGTCAGTGCTGCTCTGCAGATGCTTGATTCATTTTCCCCATAAAATCTCCCAACTATTGCTAAACATATGCTGCCTTTTCAACAAATCTGAAATTTTCACTTTATCATTTAAATTAAGCACATTAACTTTTGCCTTGCTTTGGGGCACCATTTGTTTTGTGGGAGGCATAATTTTACAAAATTAAGGGCAGGCAAACATTCAGCAGATCTCACAATGATTTTTATATAACTGATGGTAATACAAGGCTGACTTAGAGCTTTCCGTATCAACTGAGCTCACAATATATGTACAGGAATTTAAAACTTTTTGCTTTTTCTGAAATTACATTAATTAGTAAAATAACATTTTTCTGAAATGAACATTGTTATTGAGTAAGTTTCCTCATACATTTTTTTCTTTTCATATTATTTTCCTTTATCTATTGACATTTGTCCAGATCTTACTTATTATTGAAAACCTATTTGAGACTCTGTGTATACTTTATATTTCTCTTGCCTATATAGTGTCCTGCAACACTCACATTTATATTAATAAAAGAATCCTTTGTGCCCAAAGTCTTTTCTTTTGATTCTTTTTTTTGGGGGGGTAGGGTAGGGGTTGGTCGTGGGGCCTGAACTCTGGCCCTAGGCATTGTCCCTCAGCTCTTCAGCTCAAGGATAACGCTCTATCACTTGAGCCATAGCGCCACTTCCAGCTTTTTCTGCTTATATAGTGCCAAAGAATTGAACCCAGGACCTCATGCATGCAAGGCAAGCACTCTACCACTGAGCCACCTTCCCAGCCCTTCTTTTGATTCTTATGTAGACCTATAATAGACCTGTAAATCTTGGTCACTATAAAATAAAATTTTGATTGCTGAATGTTACAAAAGAGAATGGCAGATTATCTGTATGAAAAAATGACACTGGTTGCCAGGCAGGATCCTGCACATCTGCTAAATGAATATATGTTTCCTTCTTTTAACCTCACAAAAGCCCTATATCTGTATTTTACAAATACAGAAAGCAAAATTTACCAAAATCTTTCTTTTTTATCTTTTTTTATTATAAGAAAAATCACTCCTCCTTTTTCCTTTTTTTTTGTGAGAGTACAAAGGAGTTACAATTACATGGGCAAGATAACAAGTACATTTCTTATCAAGCATTGTTGTCTCCTCTTTGTTTCCCCTTCTCATCCCTTCCCATACTACCCCCTCACCTCAGCTGAACCTCCCCCCACCTCCCACCAAAGTTGTAAAGTTCATTTATCGACATAAGGACTTTACATCTCACTGTTGCAATGGGTTCACCTGTATCCCTAGTTAAACCATTTGTTTTTTTCCCTTCTCCTCCACAAATTATACCAACATCAAATACAGGGAAAGCAGCGGTTATACCGTGGGGGAGGGACATACAAAGCAACAAAGAAATCATCTTATAAATGTGTTAGAAACAATCGCATGAAAGAAAAAAACATTTGAATACATATGTTAGGGTTCATTTCCCTAACATCAACTTATCTGACCTTTTCTGCTTGACTCAGACATATACTAGTTATTGCCAATAAGGGAAACCGTGGGACCTATGTTTCTTTGGGCCTGGCTTACTTCACTTAATATAATTTTTTCCAAGTCTTTCCATTTCCTAACAAATGGGGCAATGTCATTCTTTCTGATGGAGGCATAGAATTCCATTGTGTATATATACCACATTTTCTTGATCCATTCATCTACTGAGGGGCATCTGGGTTGGTTCCATATCTTAGCTATGGTAAATAATGCTGCAGTAAACACAGTCGTGCCGGTAGTTTTAGTGTGGTCTTGTTTTGTGAACATTTTGTTTACTTATTTTTAAAAAGTTGATTAATGTCTGTGCCCCCCATTTGTATTTTGTTAGATATATTATATCCAGTTTGTTAGTGTTTGTTGACTCTCTGAGGGCAGAGTACTTGTTCTTAGAATTAGTAAGCTTTTATAAATGGAGTCTTGTGCTTGCTCATTATTCTCTTCTAGTATATCCCTAATTCCATTTAATTTTGGTAGAACTGAAGCTGTGTTTACTGACTTTTTACCTTGCCCTTGTTCATTCTCATATATTCTCACAAGTTAATAGACTGCTGCT